CTTCTTTGCATCGTCAAAGTTGTGAACAGGTCCTTCTGTGAAGAAAAACCCGAACATCCCGCAGATATGCCCTCCACAGATCGCGTGTCCCGTCTTCTTTCCGGTATCCAAAATGCCTCGAACAAGTTCTCCGGTGATCTTATCCAAGTATTCGTACGTTCCCGGCTCTATCAACCGCTTAAGTGTATGTATCCCGGCTGTCATTGCCAATGGATTCCCACTCAAGGTACCAGCCTGGTACATAGGCCCTGCAGGTGCCACCATTTCCATAATGTCCCTTCTTCCTCCATATGCACCAACAGGCAGACCACCACCAATTATCTTCCCTAGGGTTGTTAAATCCGGTGTTATGCCGAAATACTCCTGTGCCCCGCCGTAGGACAAGCGAAACCCGGTCATCACTTCGTCGAATATGAGGAGGGTGCCGTTTTCCTTGGTCAAGCGACGTATGGCTTCAAGGAAGTCAGGTTTAGGTGGAATGAATCCGGAGTTGCCAACAACGGGTTCGAGAATAATGGCTGCAAGTTCGCCTTTGTTGTGGTTAAAGAGATTTTCGACGGCGGATATGTCGTTGTAAGGGGCAGTTAGAGTTTCAAAAGTGGCTGCTTTCGGAACACCAGGAGAGTCGGGCAGTCCTAGGGTAGCGACTCCACTACCTGCCTTGACAAGAAATGGATCAGCATGGCCATGGTAACAACCCTCGAATTTGATGAGCTTTTCTCGGCCGGTAAACGCACGCGCGAGCCGCAGCACGCCCATGCATGCTTCTGTACCCGAGTTTACGAACCGTACCATTTCGATGCTAGGCACGGCAGAGATCACCATCTCGGCCAAAACGTTCTCGAGAAGACAAGGAGCGCCAAAGCTGGTTCCTTTCTTCATTGTTTCAGACAGAGCAGCAAGCACCTGCAGATATTTGCAAACCATGAAGAATTATTATATGTGCTCTCCATTACCAACCTAACAACTCTTGGTTAACATAATTAAGACCATAAACGAGATGAGACAAATCGCGAGCTACTCGAGATCGATTCAGTCAACATTCAAATTGAATGAGTTTGACTCGAGCTCCAACTAGACTCGAATTCTTATCGAGACAAAGCGAGCCACTTTATACCCGACTCGAAAAGCTTGCGAGCAATATAAAAAAATAATATATTAATTTTAGATTTTCTAAATTAAATTGCTAATAACATTAACATTTATACGTTGTTCTTTTTTATAAAAATTGCAATATAAGGCTTTCATGTACTTTAAGATCAAGCTTAAGGTCAAGTTTGAGCTTCAATCGAGCTAAGTCCAAGAATATTTCGAGTTCAAATTTTTTCAAACTCAATTAGAGCTTCAATTTTCTATTTCGAGTCGAGCTTGAAAATTTTAAGCTCGTGAACTTTCTAGTCGAGTCGTGCTGCGATTTTTCATTGCAAGTACAAGTCAAACTAGACAATTTAAAGCTTGTGAGTTCTCGAGTCGAATCGAGTTCAATTTGACACTTTTCAAATCAAGTCGAACCCAACTATATTTAAATTCAACTCGACTCGTTTCAAACCCTAAACATAATATAATGCATCATCATGGACATTGCATCCCACATAACAAGAAGTTAAGGTCAAAATGCATATGAAGTTATGGGATTTGTCAAAGACTTAACCTGATCATCTGCATGACCGATGATTGCAGGTCCCCAGGAGCCAACGTAGTCGATATAATGGTTACCGTCAATGTCCCACATGTGAGAACCCTTCACTGAATCAATCACAATTGGTTGTCCACCAACAGATTTAAAGGCACGTACAGGTGAATTTACACCTCCTGGCATCAGACTCTGACCCAAAAAAATAGCCCTTAAACGAGTCAGTGCACAAATACACTTCACAAAAGCATTTACCCAGTGTAGGATATGAAAGAGGAAAGGAACAAGCTATCCATAACTGATCGGGTAGTTCTGTTGTGCGGTGGCTTAACCTAAAGTTAATTTACGACGAATTTTAACTTAAAATGTTCCCTTTTTAATCTAAAAAGTGTACGATTGGTTATAGTTTCGATTACAACCGAGAATGTTACATTACGGTGGGTTTCAACTTAAAATATTTCTGTCTACTCGAGAAAGTTACACAACTAGTAATAAACTTTAAACCCTAAACCCTAAACTGAGAATGTTTTAACGTTAAGATTTTAGATTACAACCCAAATAATTATACAATTTACCAAATTTGTTACGGAATAGTCCTACAATTTATGTTATTTGTTACTGATAACATAACATTTTCAATTTTAACCTAAAATATTACTATATTACTCTAAAAAATTATGCTCATTTCATCCATGACTAATCAGAAATCAAACATGCTAAACTTCATATGAATTCAGCCAGCCCCAAACAAACCCAGATTGAGAATCAATCGAATGGCTTGAATTTCAACAAAATTCGGCTTCACTTGGCAAAGATTAAAACTATGCAGAAGAAGATAGAATTACCTTGGCAGCGTTGAAAGCTTCTTCAGATTTCTGAAGGGTGAAATTCTTCTTATCTTCAACGGAAACAGTCATCTTGACGCGAAAACCAGAGGATTGTGAAGTAGGATGAAGAGGCTTAGAAAGGTTGGAAGAACAAGATAGGCCTAACCCAACTCCGATTCCGCTCATTGAGGCCGCCATTTTTTCTCTTTGTTTTTGCAAGTGATCTTATTTCAGGCAGTATAAAGAAGAAGATAAGAAAATGGTGAAATCGTAAGAAGGATCAGCCAATAGCAAACCAAGGAACCGGATTGGGCGGACCAATTATCAAAATATGTGGGCCGACGAACCCTGTAAATGGACATCGGCCCATTACAACATTTTTTTCCTTTTCTTCATTGAACGGACATGAATCACATGATAAGATCGTTCACTCATTTCTCATTGCAGAGCCGCAGCGTGACGAGGATGGGTACGTGTCTATCTTAAAATTTGAATTTTCTTTGATTAATTACTTATTTTATTGATGGTGTCTACCCTGAAAACTTTCGTATCCACCTTAAAATCTGAATTTTCTTCGATTAGTTATTTATTTTACGGAATGGGACCATCATGAAATTTTATTTGTACTCATCACATTTAAAAAAAATTATGTTGTTAACGTATGTGTGCCCACCCTAAAAAATATTTAATGATCCGCCACTGATTCACCTTACGTGATTGGATCTGCTTGGTGTGAGGTTAGACCTTCGGGTTCGTCCATCTTGCATGGAGTACTCCATATTGATGTTGGGTGTGGTTCTCAACAAAATCCGGCTGCATGTTCTACTCCTGTACTAGAAAACCCTACTCCTACGGTTTAAGTGTTGGCTTACAATAAAAAAAGTGAATGTACCTTATGTATTTTTTCATTTATATAAATGCATCCATTTCATATTAATTCTAAGTTATTAAGAAATATTTATTATTATTTTTTAAAGAAAAATATACCTTAAAAGAAGGATAAACAACACGTACGTGGTAACATTTTAAGTATTTTGACTTATTCGTTTCGGATGTGTGCATTACACTTGAACGTACACGATATTTATCTTTATTTCAAGTAAAAATGCTAAGCAGTCATCATTAAAGCTATATAAAACTACACGAGGTGTCAAACATACAAAGTTTACTTATTCATACTTTCTATTATATCTGTTTCAAAATTCCAATAAAATATTGAAGTCTCAAAGACGTACTACTCTAACGCTTACTCCGGGTGTGAGTCCGCTTTTTTTATAATTTATTAAACTATTTTGAAGATTAACTTTGAAAAAAATGAAATACATAATTTTGAGCCTTGATGTTAGACTTTTGTTTACTTTACATGTGCAAGGCTATAAAACAAAATATGGTTTGAGTATGTTAAAATTTGTCAACTAAACTATTCATTTTTTAATTAAATATCAAACAATTAATTCAATTTTTAATATTATTTTATAAAAATAGGTCTCGTTTGAATATATTATCTAATTTTGAAAAAAAAAATATTTTTACAAAATTGGCTCGTTTGCCAACTTTTTAACTTCTAATGAAATTGGTTATATTTTGCTCTGTCTCTTCATTTAATTTCATAAATTAATATTTAAGTTTTTGGACATCTTATAAGTATTATTTGTTTATGAAAGTCATATCTGAAATGTCTTATCATAAAATAAGTAAAAAAAAATGTGTCATAAAACATCGTTGCCTTCAAAATGGATAATTATCAAGAATATATTTATTATGGAAAAGGTTACACAATGTTGTAACTTGTAAGTTCATGTACTTTTCGTACATTTTAAATTTAGTCATCCTAATTTTGCTTTTATGAAATTAGGTAATTGTTTAAATTGGAATAGGTAGTTAGACGTTTTAAACTCTACTTCGCCATACCTAAGGTAATGTCAATTCCATATAATTAAATTATAACATTTTGATTTGACACAATAACTAAGTCGATTGAAAATTTTAAATCAAACACTTGTAGGAAGTAATTTTCACTTTCATTTATAGATGATTAAGTTTCAAAGCCTTTAGTAGTACGAGAAATACTTCAAAACTAAAAATTAATTATATGAACAAACAATTTTTATCAAAAAATATTGTTTTTTAGGAGCTAAACATTATACATGTTCGGTTATATTGGATCATGTCCCGTTCTTTAAGTAATATTGATAAAATACTTTTGTTTAATTTACATGATTCAAGTTTGCAAACAATCTAACCAAAAATTAGTGTAAGTTCTTCGCTATTAAGATGTTCCAAGTCAACTATAAGTTTCTACAAAAACCAAAAATTGTTGGTAACAACTAAAAAATTATAAAAAAGAATTAACGAAATGCTCACAAACCTATTGAATCAAATTAAACCTTGCTCTATTCAACTCGTTGAGATCTCAAATCGAGCTATAATTCGAGTTAAATCAATCCAAATCGAACATCAACCAAGCACCTAACAATGGAACCAATTTTAAATTGTTTTTAGTATTGAGAAATGCTCATAAAACTCTTATCAAAATGTAATCTTTGAAACCTCAGCCTGATAAAATAACAAGATGTTCGCTATGAGAAACTAGGCAAATCTCAACTACAACCATACATACTACTACAATTAAGTTACTACAGGAGTTACAATCCCACCATCTAAAATCACTAGGCCAATTCTAGTATTCTATCACAAATGAAAATCAAACCCCATGGGGGATCAGATAATTACCTATGACCGTGCACATGTCACAAGTTACATATGGTGAAACTAGTCATCTCCATCACCATCTTTATCGGCACCACCGCTTGTATCGGCATTCTCCTCACTTTCTTCCCCTTCCTCATCCTCATCCTCATCAGACATGTTATTTATCACTTCCGTAATAATGTCCTTCACCTCGGCTTTCCGGTGCATCAAATCCCGCCCAAAGTGAGTACCTGAGATCATCCAAATCTTATAATTATTCAAGTATAAAAATCAATATTGTAATTTAAATACTTTAACAACGTCCCGTGAAACATACCAAGTTGTCGAAGGATATCAGATAACGTTGCCTGCATCATAAGCACACAATTTTAGCACTGAAAATCTGAATCTAATCATTCATTTCACATCCAAATTGAACAGATAAAATAATTAAAAATAATACTTACAGTGTTGAAGTCCACTTTTTTTAGAATATTGACCACAACATCATGAGTCTCTTCCCTGGTAGGCTCAGGTTTAGGTTTCTTGCCACTTTTTCCTTTACCTGTTGCAACCGTATAACACAAAGGCGTTGAATAAAAGAACAGCAAGCCACTTCAAATATATCTCTTCTTTTAATATTATGCAAACATAAAACATCAATATTTAGCAAAACCTACCTTGCGACTTAGCAGAAACCTTTTCTGATGACTTGTTTGTTTTCTTTTTGCCAGCAGCATTGTCTTTGGTGGAACTACCCTTAGAGCTTTCCTTTTCAACCTTTGGTTTCTTTGACGCACAACCCTTCGATTTAGAACCAGAATTTCCACCATCACTGACATCCTGCTTTGAAGTTGATCCTGAGGACTTTTTGCCAGATTTTGCAGGGGTAGCCTTCTTTCCGGATGTGGATTTATCCTTGCTTTTAGACTCGGGACTCTCTGTTGCTGTCTTTTTTGAAGTACTTTTTTCACTTGACTTTTTGGGCTCTTCTTCCTCCTCTGATTTAGTCTCTTCGTCACCATTCTCTTCTTTAGGAGCAGTGTCAGCATCATCTTCATGAGAATCATCTCTAGAGACAGGGGATTCAACTTTATCATCATCTTCATCTTCCTCAGCTTTGGATGAACGCTTACGCTTTTCCCCACCTTGGGGCGCTCTTAGTCGCTTCTGTGGAACAAATTTTGAAACAAAATAACAAGCATCAAGCTTTCTCAGCCCCAATAAATTCCAGAAATTAAAAATAGCGCAGAGACAAGAAAACAGAAAATGAGGGGGAAATATCATTCTTAAGCAGTGATCCCCAGCTAGATTCATGTAGGACATTCTTAATCTGGTAGAAATTTACTAGCTATCTTTTTCCTCTCTTCCTTTTTTTCTTTTCGAAAAACCAAAGTTTGTACGGGTTTTGTTTGCTAGACAACATCTATGGACATAGCTGCATAGGCAACAATGTTTTAACCCACCAAACAAAAGGTAAAAAAACCAAGCATTCTTGCCTATGGTACTTACAAGCACCAACTCATCTGCAAGTGGAACATCATAGCAAACCATACCAGGTGAAATGCACACAATGAACCTTAGCAAGTACGATAATGAAAATTATCACAAGATTCGGGAAAACAAAATAATTACAGAGAAACGGATATAAACCATAAACAAACACAGTTTTTCCCATAAACACATAGGAACCACAATTCATTGAAGACCATTCATGACTTAGCAAGCGAAGAAACATAATTTATTCTGAATCTACAAAAAGTCATGGGAAAATACTCCAACCTTTAATCAAACCACCAAGAGTATCTATAACCCAAATAAATGAACTACAGAACCAATATGTAACGAGAACAAAACCTCAAATATTTTGACAAACTTCAATGAACAATCTCCCCATGACTGGACAAAAAACAAGTTAACACCTATATTAACAATAAAAATCCAAGAACAGACAATAAAGACACAGCAGCCAGTAAAGTTTCATAAAACAAACTAAATAGAAATGTTAGATCAAGTCTTGAGAGCACCAACTTTTGATCAACCAAGATCAATTACCAGCCCTTGCAAAAACAAGACAACATAACAACAATTCTTAAACTTCATTCTTATCAGCAAAAAAAAACAAAATCAAAATTTATCACACCACATTGATCAAAGCAATTTTAAACTCAGCACTGGAGCAGGTAAAATGATACACAATGAAAGATATTTTTAAAAAGAAATAAGACAGAATTAATAAAATATAAAGTACAAAACAGAACGGGGATACATGCAGGAACAAGCACTACCAGATAATCATAGAAGGATTTAATAGATAACAACAAGATATACATAAAAAGGAGCAAAATCAAACAAGACAAACCTTAGCTGATGTATCCAAAGCCTCCCCATAACCAATGCTTTTGCTTGGTGTAGCTTTACGCTTTTTACCCTTATGAAACAAGGATAAAGAATCCCATTCAGATCCAAATTGACAATTAATCATGCCAAATACTTCATAACATGCAAAAGAATTTCAAATAGCATTGCACCTGTTCCTTGTCAGCAAGAAGAATGTCTGTAGTAGCATGGGGGGATTCTAGAAATTCCAATAATTTAGCAGAGACTTCCTCCTTCAAAAGAGAAAAGACTTACACTCAAATAAATAAGCAGATCCATTACATAAATAATGGTACATTTTATATATTTCTTACTGACCTTTCTTACAGTAGCCTTTGCAATTGGAATATTCAGCAAATCACAGAAATCAACCAATTTTTCTTTAACACATTTTTCAATTTTTTCCCTTATTTTTGCTTTTTGCTTTTCCCGCTGAAAAAAATAAAAAACAACGGGCATTAAGAGATTTTCGCTTGATGAATAACAGCTCATTCCCAAGGTCAAGCATGGGCAATGTATCTTCAATTAAATCTATTTGACTAATGAAATGCAACGAGAGACCCATGCATCCAGACAACGGGAAAAAAGAAAGAAACCAGCTTTTACAAGATAAATAAAATACCTCATTCTCAACCCAAACATAGCCAGAAAATTGGCCAATGTTTCTCTTCAAACTGTAAGGCTGTAGATGGAAAAATATGATTAGTATCGAAGAAAGGATAATGGAACAACAAGAAAATATAACTTCATCACCTTTACTTTCTTTCCAAAGAGTATCACATGAAGCATCTGCAGATTGTCATCAGCTTTTCTCTTAGACAGTTTGAAAGCCACTGAAACAATGTACAAAACTATAAAATAAATAGGCCAGACTCTGCACTGCAGTAACAGAAATGTTTAATAACCGTAAAAAATTGTCATTTCGAAGAATAATGCATCAAAAGAGCATCGATAGAATCTCTCTATCATCCAAGAGAATAATGTGTCAATTATTAAATGAAAACTGCAAGAGGCTAGCAGTAACATGCTAATCTTGACAGCAGTTAAATACATCTCATCCACAAATTTCCAAGCAATTCAAGTACCTATAAAATTCCTACCAACCATGACAATCCACAATGAAACTACGGGAATGAACTCCTGAGTCCTGACAACAGGTATTGAAGAGGCTATCAGGCTAACATGGTTTCCCAAAAGTCGAAAATAAATAATTGCAAAGATTATCATCAAAAAACAAATAGGTTATCATAGCAGTTCAAAAGTGTTCATATTTATCTGATTATACAAAATTTTAAGTTTTTAGATATTGACCAAGGATTCCTCCGATTTTAAGAATTTATCATAGCATTTATTCAAACTCAACAACTGCACATGGAAACCATTTAACCTCGTTTTATGGCTTTGAATGTCATTACTCACATCTATATTGACAGGTTTCATGGAGACTGATTGTTCTGCTTCCTAAAATATAAAACTCAAATGCATAACAACCAACCAAGTCTCAGTTAGTTTGCATCGGCAAAAACTAAAATGCACTTTAGTTATTGTTAAGTACCAAATTAACTAAGTTCTAAGTTGTAGTCTGTATATAACCTAGACCAGATGACATAAAAATAACCCAAAATCGATAGATTGAAGCTCAATCAGATCTCTCGAAATTCAAATAAAATATTTAACAATTAGAGTAGATGCATACCATTCGGAATATCTTTAAGCTGTGTACCGCGACCCTGAAAGCAAGACAGATGATTGGAGTGAAAATGAGGAAAATGGAGTGAAAAGGGAAACCGAATTCTTAACGAGAACGATACCTTTTCAATTAAAAAAGGTTTGGCCGAGGAAGACCTGGCAACGGAAGGAGCTGAGTACCTTTTCACGACTTTTCTTTCCCTTGTAGGCCTATCACTACTCGGCGTCACAGGCTCTTTCTTCTCAGCCGAATCTCGACCGGGCTTCCTTGAGCTTCCCTTTCGACCACTACCTTTAGCACTTTTAGTTCCTTCATCTTCACTCTCTTCTTCATCTTCCACTCCCTCCACCTCTTTCAGTTCCTCTTCCTTTCCTTCCTCTTCTTCCACTTCCTTCTCCTTCTCTTCATTCCCTTCCTCTTTCCCTTTCTCGCCAACTTCCATTTTTTCCTCAGTTTGCCGAGAATCCCCTTTTTCGAAAACCTCCTTACATTCCCCACCGTTTACCTTCTCTCTCTCCTCTTCCTCTTCACCTTTAACCGGAGTAGCCTCCTCTTCCTCCGTTTTCTTCTCGTCTAGGGTTTCCCTCGCCATAGAAACCACCAACCGAGCAGTTTCCCCAAAACCCTAAAATCGAAATGAAAACCCTAACAGATCAAGAGAAAATTAGTATAAATGGTGAGTGATGAAGTGCGGAGCAGTGGACATGAAAGAGGAAAATCAAAGTGATAGGCGTAAAATTGGCGCGATGGAGATGAGAATAAGAGGAACGAGCGGGCAACCAAAAATAACTTTCTTGAGAGAGCGGCATTTCTTAAACCCTAAACCCGTTTTCATAAATAAACCTTTAAAATTTAAATTATCAATTTTTATTTGTTTTAATATTTAATATTTTAATTTTTTTCAAAATCATATTTAATATTTTATTTTTATTTTGTTTTAATATCTCAACATTAAAAACTTAATATTATAGGTAAATTATATCATTCATCGCTCAACTATATTCTCACTCGTATTTTGGTCATTGAAGTTTATTCTTTTAAATTTAATTATTTAACTTTCAAATTACTTCTAATTTAATCACTCTAACTTTCAAATTTAATTTTTTATTTTAATTATATATTAATAAAAATAAAAATAAAAAATATCATCTCACAAAATATTATTAATAAAATAAATTAGAGTGATTAAAACATGAGCAATTTGAAATATGAGTAGTTAAATTGAATAATTTTAAACTTTAATGACCAAAATAAGAGTGAGAATGTAGTTAAGGGAGCAATGATGTACTTTACTCATAGAAATGTCATGTGCAAAAGTTTCGTTAAATTTTTAATAAAACAAAAATTAAACGTTACATATGATTTTGAAAAAAATTAAAAGTTTAAGTACTAAAACGGATAAAATCGATTTAATTACATATGATTTAGATATTAAATACATAGTTTACCCATACAATATCAAACTAAATGATAAACTACACGGGTGATCGCCTAACTATTGTCTTTTTTTTACTTTGAAAATTGATGCTTCGATTTAATCAACCAGACCATCTAACTATTTAAATACTTCAATTAAGCCATTGTACGTTAACTTTAATGGATGAGGTGATGTGACAGTTAAAAACCTTGGTATAATTGCATATTTGATCCTTAATATTTATATATTCTATCAATTTGATCATAATTTAATTTAGCTAAAATAATATTTAATTTTCAATTAGATTGTGACACACATCAATACCTGGTTAGAAGATATTTTCGTAATTATTTATTTATTTAATCTAATTTATTTTTTCCAATCAAATATTGACATGTGTCGCCACCTTATTAAGTGAGAAAATGAAAGGCTAGAACAATGCAACCAAAAGTGAAATACAAAGTCTTGAACCACTGAGTTAACCAAGTAATTTGGTTTCAAACAACAACATATTTTAGATATCTTATTTCGGTTAGAGAAAAAAAGAATTGAAAATGCAAATTGGGATCAAAACAAGGATGAAATTACTTTAACCATTAAATCCAATAATATATTAGAATATAATTTACAACATTTTTATATATTTTAGTTTTTAATGGGAAAATAATTCTTAATTTTAATTTATTAACTATAATTTACAATATTTTTTATATATTTTAAATGTTTATTAATGAAATAATTTTGAATTGTATTTATTAATTATAATTTAAAATTTATATATAATATTAGAAATTACTTATCCAAATATATATATAATATTAGAAATTATTTCTTCCATTAACTATAATTTAATATTATATATAATTATTAAATTATAATTAATAAATAAAATTAAGATTTACAAAAATATTGCAAATTATAATTAATGAATACAGATTAAGAACTATTTCTTTCATTAACAAAAATTATAAATATATAAAAAATTATAAATTATAGTTAATAAATAAAAAATTATTTCTTCCATTAACAATAATAGAAATATATATAAAACTATTGTAAACTATAGTTAATAAAAAAATTAAGAATTATTTATTCCATTAAAAATTAAAATATATAAAAAAATATATTCTAAATTATATTCAAATATGTGATTGGATTTCATGGTCAAAGTTATTCCATCCTTGTTTTGAGTCCCTAATTTGCATTTACAATCTTTTTTTTTTTCTATCTTTAACCGGATTAAGATATCTAAAATATGTTGTAATCTGAAACCAAATGACTTGTTTAGCTTAGCGGTTCAAAGTGATTGCATTTCACCTTATTGAATGAAGTTGTAACCCCTAGACCTGACCTGGATGTTACGATCGAATCTAGACAGTCACATATTAATTTCAGGAAATCCTTTTTCAGATTTAAAATAGATATAACGGTAAGATTCAAACGGTAAACGTATATACATATACAGACATCGGGGATCCATATAAAAACATATTCAGAAAATAATATTGGTACTCCAAATACATAAGAACAGTAATAAAAACACGTGTCACCAAAATATAACAGAGATGAGTATGTAGAAATATACAACAATACAAAATTGAGAATAGTCGATCCTCTTGACGCCATGTCGGCTACCATACTGTCGGATAGTATCTGAAAATTTAAAAATTAAAGAGTAAACTAAAAAAAAACATTGTACTCCTTACGGTGTATAAAACATTCGGAAAGTATATGAAAAATTAAAAATTAAAGAGTGAGATAAAAAACTCAGTGTGCTCCATGCGGTGTATAAAACATTTAGATAAATACTTCGGTAAAAATTTATTTATAAAACATGATTTTAAAACATGAACACTACCCTCATCCGAACACCAGAACGTGTAGGCTCCCCTAAATCATACATCAACATGTACACCCGATAAGGACCTTATATTGATAGTATAAGGACATGTGGTAAGGACTTATTCTATGCACAAAACAGAGGAACATACGATAAGGTCTTACAAGTCAGAGACTAGGCATTAGATACTTCATCCAATAATACCCACTAATGATAATAACTATGCATGAATTTGAGTGAAAATACTGGTTTAAGTCTTTAAAACATTAAAATATTATATTTTTCAAAATCAGATACATAAATATAGTAACCATAGGTCATGCTAGAAACGAGAAATCAGATATCAAAATTCAATGCATACAGTAAAATAGATACCATGCAGTCAAAATATTTAAAATCGTCATGAACACATTTGTATCGATATAAGAAGTCTAGTACGGTATCCTAATATCGGGTCTACCTATTACGGTCTGCGGTAGTGTCAGATTCTACGAGTCAGAAGAACGATATCAAAATCCTAGTAAATTAAATAATAAAATTTAATTAAATAATTTACATAAACATACGAGTAATGCTCGAAGAACTCGGACCGTATAGATCTACTGGATAGGAAGAGTCAGACCTAGCCAACCCTCGGTAAGGGGAATCATGAGTGTCTTCATAAAAATATAATCACATATCAATTATAGATTAAATACCCAAGTAATCATGTAGAAATGCTAAAAATACTAAGCATTTTCAGATTAATGGGTTATTTCGGGGCCTTCAAACCATAATTTGGAGAAATGGACTGTAAAATCGGACTTAGAACATCGAAAAACATCAAAATGAATGTTTTCAGAAAAAGTTAACGGCTGTCAAAGTCAACACCGATAAACGGTAAATGCAGTAAACGATCAACGACAATCAACAATCAACAATCCATTTCAATTGGACTGATTTAGTCCAATTCAATTAGGTAGGTCTAGACCGATTCAGTTTGGTCGATTTGGGCGATCAAGAGTTGGAGCGGACGGGTTGGGTTCTCCCCACGCACAACGATGGCGCGTGAGGGCACATGTGAGATCACATTGGGCCGAAAAAAATTATAAAAATATTTTGAAGCGTTTTAAGGCACTTACCTAACTCGGTTCACAACGCTGAATGGTGGAGAGTTCGTTTACACTACATCGAAAACTTGATGTTGTTCACCCCTTCATACGTGGGTGGCTACGACAACAAAAACAACACCGATGAATTCGAGACAATGTAATGATTCAATGGTATAGGAAGTGTCAAAAATAGAGCTATGAACGACCACAAAACGTCGTTTAAAATTTTCCAGAGAAAAGTTTTTAAAATAGGAAGCCAGAGATAAAGATATAAGCTTTCCTCATATGGAAAGTTTCAGAATTTTTGGGTTTTAAACCCAACCATTAAGGAAATGGTAAAATCATGCCATTGATCATTCAACTTTTTAAACTATGTGATTTAGACCTAAATTTAATTAAAAATTCATTTTGGTCCCTTAATTTAACCGAAATTTTAATTTAATCCATTAAATAAAATCAAGAAAATGTTAGCCACGGAATTGGGGTGCAACAGAAGTTCAATTCCTGTTTGGTGCATTATTTAGACCTTTCATTTTCTCACTTAATAAGGTGTGTCGTCATCTTATTGGAGGAAATATAAATTAGATTAAATAAATAAATAAATATGAAAATATCCTCCAACCATATACTAACACGTATAATATAGTTGAAAATTAAGTTTTATTTTAATTAAATTAAATTCAGACCAAATTGATATAATGTATAAATATTGAGGACCAAATATGCACTCATACCAAATTTTTTAACTATCACGTTACCTCTTTTGTTAAAAGTTAACGGACAACGGCTTGATTGAAGCATTTAAATAGTTAGGAGATCTGATTGATTAAATCGAAACATCGGTAGTCAAAGTGAAAAAGGACAATAGTTAAATGGTCACCCTTGTAGTTTACCCTAAACAAAAAAATGATTGGCTAAGAAGTAATATAAAACGATGTGAAGCAATGCAACGCCATTACAAATGTAGCCAAAGGAAAAGCCAGAGGACAAGAAACCAAATGTCGCCAAATGAAGTAATATAAAACCTTGTGTCATCTTGTGTCCTGTTACAGCAACAAATCTGTTCAAGTTACTCCTCAAGTACAAGCCAGAGGACAAGTTGGCCAAGAAGGAACGTCTCCTGAAAAAGGCCCAGGCCGAGGCTGAAGGCAAAGCACCCGAGTCTAAGAAACCAATTGTGGTGAAATATGATCTTAACCATGTTACATACCTTATCGAGCAGGTTGCCCTTTAATTTCTTAGTATCATCAGTGTAGCAAGTGTAGTACTGTACTTTTATCATTTTGAAGCACTTAAAAAAAATAATTCTTCTGTAATATACTCTGCAGAATAAGGCACAATTGGTTGTTATTGCCCATGATGTTGATCCCATAGAGTTGGCAGTGTGGCTCCCGGCTTTGTGCAGGAAAATGGAGGTCCCTTACTGCATAGTTAAGGGAAAAGCGCGTTTGGGATCGGTAAACTCCTACGATATTTCCTTAATTTTCTGCCAATTTACGGAGCTAATGACAAGGTCACTTATTTGTGTTGGTGTACTACTGCAGATTGTCCTCAAGAAAACTGCGACTGTCTTGTGCTTGACCACGGTTAAGAACGAGGATAAGATGGAATTCAGCAAAATCCTCGAGGCAATCAAGGTAAGAATATGCCTGCAATATATTCGAAGTAATCTACGTTGAGAAGTTAGATGTCGTTTTATCCACTTGTGCTGTACATTGCAGACCAACTTCAACGACAAGAACGATGAGAATAGAAAGAAGTGGGGAGGCGGAATCATGGGCTCCAAGTCACAAGCCCGAACCAAAGCAAAGGAGAGGCTTCTTGCGAAGGAAGCTGCGCAGAGGATGACTTAAAGAGAGGAACAACACACCTTTAGTCGTGATGTGTGTCTTGATTAAGCAGTCTCGTGTAGCAAGTTGCAATCAATTTTCGACTTGACCTACTCTTTTCCCTTATCGACATTGATATCTATTTTTGGGGTTTGTCGCGACGACTTTTTTCAAAGTGGCGAAAATCGGAATAATTTAGAAAATCGAATTTTAGAAAATATTTGAAATGTTTGGAGTTGTCATCAACATTTGAGATTAGGTAGGTTGAAAACCCAGGATAGTCTTTTTAAATAAAAAAATTAAAAATACTTGATTTGGTATGCGATTTAAATATTTTGAGTTCGGGAGTCGATTACGTTTGGGGAAGGATTTAAAAATTAAGAAATTTGAATATTTATTTAGTTAATGATCTTTTTATTCCTTAAATTATTTTAAAATTTGAGAGAGACACAATATTTGTTATTTCCAACTAAAGGAGAAACTAACCCCCTAATCGGAATTATTTCTTATATTTTAATCGAAATAATGAAATATTGTCATCCTTAAAAATTAAATAATTATCAATTATTAAACCCTAAAGAAAAAATATTTAAAGGTGACAAATTAGCCAAATTGTTATTGAAAAGGATAAGGACTTTCCTCGATTTAAAGAACGAAGGCCGAGCTTTTGACGTTAATTAAACAACTTGTCCTTAGCAATTTAAATGTAGGATCAAATCTCTACCTTTTCGTTTAAAATTAATGAACCTATTTAATTTTTGTGGTGACCACTTTTTATAACATTTATTTATTCGAAAAATATTGAACAATTATATCTAGTTATTTTAATACCACCCCTTTTAATATTTAGGAATAAAAGAATATTCCTTTTAATTAATTATGAATTTTTGCGTTTGTGTTTCTAATTAATTGTATTAAAGAAATTAATCCTAAAAATACATTACTAAACTTATTTATTTTTAAGGAAACTAAACTAAGATTTTAATTAATAACTAAAGCACCCAAAATCTAAGGATTAATTAAAAAACCTAAGGACTAATTAATATTAATGATCATATTAAAAGATTGAAAAGAAACTAAAGGTTTTATTTTATAATTAAACAAGTGGCAATTTTAAAAGATTCACGAATTAATAATTAAACACATTTAATAAATGAATTAAAACAATTGGAAAGAAACTAATGACTAAATTGAACTCAATTAAAATCCGGAGTACAAATTACAAACTTGCAATGACTAAAATAAAATAAATGGAAAGTCACATCCCAAAGAAAACATGCATATTGTTGGCTATTTTAATGAAGCAAATAGCCCAAAAAATTTACATTATAAAACTCAAAAAATTAGAGAAGCCTTCATTTTTGTCACTTCAAAAAAATCTTCTCATCCAAATTATCTCTAGCCTTCAACCGAAAATCCCAACAAAATCAACCAAATTCTTCATTTGTTCTTCATGTTCATCCATTATTCAACCTAAAAAATCAAGCTTTGATAAAAAAACATAGACCTGGTGGTTTGCTCTTAGGTTTTAAGGTTGTATCTTATCCGCTCCATTGCAAGATGAGATATGGTTTTAACTGTTTAAAATGGGAGATGGATTTGGTAATTTTGAGTCATTTACCTCCAACGAAGGTGGCCTGTGATGGTCAGAATGGCAGTTAACATGATGACTGGAATTTAGGTTTGTATAAGTTGAAGAGAAAATGGGAGAACATAGAATAAATAATGAAAATGATTTTTTTGTATTTTAATGATTATTTTTTAAGTAATCCAAGTTATGACGCCGTCAAAAAATTAACTGTTGAGTGACCAAAAAATTAATGTGTGAGCAACAGTGAGTGAAATAGGAGAGAGAGAGAGTAAAGTTCAATGAACAAGCGTGTAATTTACCCCTTTTTATTATTAAAGAGTTGTAATCTCTCTTGATAATGATAAATAATAATGAAACATAAAAAAGGGGCATCAGTTGCAACAATTTTTGGTTACACAGAGCCAATTCCTGAGAAGGATAAAGACCCATCAATTCATCATAATAACAACAAAACTATAATACCCCAATTTTTTGTTAATGACCAATATGTAAGTTTTAAAAGTTTGATGGCTAAAGTATAGACTTTGCAAAAGTTTAGGGACTAAATATATAATTTTGAAAAGTTATATATTTTGGCCCTTAATGAACATTTTGGCCTAAAACAAAATTTATATATTTGTGTTAAAAGCTATAAAACGTTAAAGTTCGGTATAGAAATCGGATAATCGGATAGAATCGAAATTTAAGCTAATTTGAAGGATATTAGCTAATGTTTGGAAATATTATTCCCCTATTTTGATAAGAGAAATTTAGCTCAAAACAGGGTAATTTTTCAGATTTGGTCGAATAGTGGAAGTTTTAGTGACTAAAATGCAATTTTTGACAATTGTATGGCCAAAGTAGAAAGCCAAAGCCAAATGTTCATTAAATTTGCTAGAAATTTCGTGATAATTTTTGCTCTCCATCAAGCTTTGGCCGTGAGTTTCCATGGTATGGTAAGAAAATTTTTCAAGTTCACTTTTAAGCCTACATGATTGATTTTTTTGATTAAGCTATTAGATATAGAATTAATCTACATGAAATTCTCTATCATTTGTTTTAAATATTACATGGTGACATCCCTATTTCATGAGATTGAAAATTAGGGTTTATGATTTTGAAAGATTGATGGAAGATTTCGATGTTATTGATGTCGGAGATTAAATTTTAAACATGTGTGATGTTTAAAATCAAGTGTAGGATTATATAAAATATTCGACCATATTAGGGTTTTTGAGAACATTGGGATTTTGATGTAATTTGATGTTATTATGATTAGAATAACATGAATTTGATATTAGGAAGTTTAATTCATGCTTGAAACTGAATGGAAATCAAGCCCTAAAAGACTTTTTATATTCGGCCACAAGGGGAAAATTAGGGGGAAAATATTGAAAAATTTCATGTGGTCTGTAAATGATATTAGAAGTGTTCTCTGTGTTTTGGAGATCAATTTGGATCAATTAGGAAGCTTGAGTTAGTAAAAAGGGCTAATATACAAGTTTTGAGAATTGTGAGACATTATTGCATAAATATGATAGATGGAGTTTTAATGCTGAATTTTAATATTAGAAATGCTGGAATTTTAAGTTGGAAAGTTGATTGAAACAAAATTTCAAGTTTGGTAAAGTTTGAGGGTGGAATTCGAAAAGTCTCAATATTATAGGGACTTGCTTTCAAGTTTATTAAATGTAGAAGTATCATTTGGGTAAAATATTATATTGCTGGAAATTTTATGGATATGTTGATTATTTAGTTTAAATGTTGAGTTGGGATCAAATTACAAGTTTATAAAGATGGGTGGTTAAATTCAAAAAGTCTAAGAAACTTTGGGATGAAATTTCAAGTTTTTGAATGTTAAAGTATTGATTTGAGAATTTTATTAAGGATGAATTCTAGAAAGAATTTATAATTAGTGGCTTGATTGTATAAATGGCAAAGTTGAAGGATTGATAATGGAAATAAATATTTATGGAATTTAAGACATATTTCGAGAAGTTTGAAATTTCGAGGGAAGTACAATTTAGTTTTGTATCTATTCAAGTATCAATTTTATTTCTATCGAATTTTATATTTAATCTTAGATTATGTTAGTTCGATACTAACATATAATTTAAATATTTTATGTTATTATATGAAGTTGTCACACCACGATAAATCTAGTGAACCAAATAACTCAAAAAGGAAGGAAAAAGTACATGATTGAGAAGATTGTTGTGAAGAAGGTTCGATAATGAGGCAAATGTGAGTGCATTTAATTTGTATTTATGTTATCGCACAAACATTAGCTTGCGATGAGTCAGTGACGGAGTTATTACGGTAAGCATTAACTCATATGTTATGTGAATTGTGATTCAATCCTATATTCATTTGGTAAGCTGATAGAATTATGGAATGAGTTAAGGATGCTAATTAAGGAAAGTTAATTAGAAATTATGATTAAAACAATAAGTTTCGAAAAGCACAATAAATTATACACAAGTGATTAGATGATGATCTTTATACTGTTGAATTTATATATCAATCTAGTTTCATTTAAAACAAACGTCTATTGATTTTGAGAAGTATACAAAAAAGATATGAATTTTTAATCAATGATAGGTTAGAAAACAGAGCAGCAAAATCTGCTCAAAACAGTTTCTGTAAGTCAGGTTTGAAAATTCGTTATAAATTGCATAAGTTGAACTAAGAGAAGTGTCTTATATGGTTAGATTCATATTCAATTCTAGTTTACAGAGGTACAAATAGAATAATTTTTAAGTATGTATATCAATACAGAATAATACTTCTTTGAAGGTAGTGCAAATTGTCATAATATGAAATTGTGATAAATTTCGTAATAGAATGCGAATCAAAAGCAAAGAATTAAGCTTTAGTTATGTGAATAAAACAAAAGAGTGTATCACTTAACATATACTACACCGGTGTATTGAATAAAACAAAAAAGTGTATCACTTAACACATACTACACCGGTGTATGTGAATAAAACAAAAAAGTATGTCACTTAACACATACTACACCGGTGTATGTGATTAAAATAAAAAAGTATAACACTTAACACATACTTACAAAGATATAAGTAAATAAAATAAAAAAAGTGTAGCATTTTACACATACTTACACCGATGTAAGTATGTACATCTCCCGATATCTTAGTACCTAACAATAAACATATAATTATATTGGTGTAAGTATGTTTTTATATTTTCAAAGAAATAAAAAATCATAAATAATAATATATATATATTAAGTTATTTGTATACAAATTTTATTAAATATATATATATATATATAAATTATAAATAATAGAAGTTTATATTAAGTTATATATGTAAAAATATAATAAATTAGAAATATAATTATAACTTTAATTTATTAACTGTTAACCATCATTTTAATTAATCGTTTATCAAAATAATAAACATAGGTACCAACAGTTAACCGTTTATCAAAATTCGTAACCTTAACTGTTAAT